TAAACCTCTGTTGTTTGTCATGGATTTTGGGATGTTGTCTTCCATTGCACGCTGTATTCTTCTTGTGATGTCATCTATCTTTACTTCTACTTCTTCTATTGATTGAAATTCTCTCTTCATCTCCATTTGGTTGAGCTGTCTTCTGTAGTTAGGCCAGTTAGCATCTTTCCACCTCCATCTTTCTACTGGTTCTATTCTCGGCAAGTCGACTCTTGATGTCATTCTTCCTATAACTGGTTTGTGATCCGAACTGCATTCGAAGTAGGTCCTGACGTCTTCCATTATTACATCTTTTGTTATGAACAGGTCCAGTGTTGAGTTGTTTTGTCCTCTGATTGGGTTTATTCTTGTTGGTTCATCTGGAGCGAATAACATCATCTCTCTGTCTTCACAGTATCTTAGAAGTGTTGTTCCTGGAGCGGTGTCTGTTGCACATCCCCATGCTGTGTGTTTGGCGTTGAAGTCACCTGCTACGACAACGGTTGGTGCTGAGTTGAGGAAGGCATCAAGTTCTTCTATGGCTAGATTTTCCGAATGTTTCCTGTAAATGGAGAAGATATTAGTCATACCTACTTTGATACCAATACCTTCAAAATGCTGTGTGTCCAACGCAACTTGGTTCCATTCTATGTTGTTTCTGACATATATGGCCACTCCTCTGTCGTTTGGATTGTCTCTTCTTCCATATCCATCATAGTTTGTGATCCTTTGTAGTTGTGACTCCGTCATGTATCTGGTTTCGGACAAGCAGATGACATCAGGGTTGTGCCTCAGGACTGCCTCTCGAAGTTCGCTGATTCGTAGCCGTAGAGATGCTATGTTGAACTGGAAGATCTTCAGATGCTTATGGTTCATTGTAGATTTCTTCGTACTTCATGAAGATCATCGCTTTCTCGGCAAATGACCTCGCCTGGAGTAGTTCCCTTTTCATATCTTGAAGAATGGCCATCATCTTCTCGACGTTTACTATTTTGTTGATCTCTGCCCATGTTCCTTGGACTGTAGCTGGTTTGGATGGAGCTGAGGGTTGTGGTACACCTTTGCTGGCCTGTGCATAAGAAAATCCGCTGGTGGTCGTCCTGAATGCTGATGGATGGGGTGGTGGAGGTGCTGTCTTCTGTTGTGGCTGGTTCCTGTTTCGTCTTTCCGCCTGTCTGTCTAAGTATTCGATGTGTTTGCTGCACATCGGGTAGTTGGAGGTGTGAGCTTCGTTACAATTGCAGCATCTGACCTTGTTTACTTGTCCTTTTGGTAGGGGGCAGTTCCTGGTTTGGTGATTCTCAGTGCACTTCATGCATCTGGGGCTCTTGTAGCAGTTCCTTGCAGAATGGCCGAAATCTTGACAGTTGTAGCACTGTGTAGCTCTTGAAGGTTTGGAGTAGGCATCCCATCGGACTCGAATGTTGTTGACACCGTTGATCTTTTTGATCTCCTTTAGGTCCTGCTGCTTGTCGACCTGGAGAAGATATGAACTGCTCGTTGCTCCTGGTTTCCTGGTCTTCATCTCGGTAACCTTGCCTATGATTCCTTGTTGCCTGAGGTCAGCTTCTACATCGTCGAGGTCCAGGCCTGGAGCTGCCTTCATCACGATTTTCTTGGTTACATCGGACTTCCTGGTGTAGGTGTGGAAGGCAGTAGACGTGTTGATAAAATCTTGTTTCACTTTTTCGTGGTCTTCTGTGCTGTAAAGATAGATGCGGGTGCCTAACTTACCTGCTGGTGCAATCTGGAAGTTATTGTGGCCTAGTAGTTTCGCTACTTCTTTGATAAAGGCAGAATAGGATCCTATCTGACCCGCAATGACGATTGGTGGAACACGTTCCTTCTTGGATGGAGCTGAAGACCTATCTTCAGTACTCACCTGTTCCAGAACTTGATAACGGTTCCTTATTGGGACTGTGGAAGCACTTGAAGTGGCATCCCTCCTTCTGGCACCTTGTATGGACTCAGCTGAGTTCCTCCTGGCACACTTGACGGTTTGAAAGGGCTCTTCGTCCATAATTTCGACGCTTCTGGTAGCCATTACTTCCTGATTTTCAATATTTTCTTCCAAAACCTCGTTGTTCACCTCGTGGTCGAACCGTTCCTGTAACCGTTCCGTCTGGGCGGGTCCACCTCTCCTTGAGGTGGGCCTGAATTTGGATTTTCTTAAATAATTCCTGTGGATCGGAAATTCCTTCCTTATCGGATTGGAACCTGAAATTATATGCGTTAGTTTATTCGTAAATAATGTTTTGTCACTTTCCGGTGTATTAGTCTTGAAAAAGACTAAATCACCGATGTCCTGAGATTTTCCTACACGACAAAATTCGGTGGCCGTTGAACCGTTCAGTTCACCGCCGACCGTTTCCAGTTGGGTAGATGGATCGACCGTTAGGACCGTTAGGACCGTTGGCAGAAAAAGTGCGGGAAGTAGATAATTTCACGTATACCCTTTCGGAATATAGTAAGATCGTCTACTCTGATTTCCTGGCCGTGGTGCGTTTCTTTTATAGAAGAAAAAGTAGGTCAAAGTGTAACGGATTTTTCAACCGCCACTTTGACTACATCGCACAACGGCCAATGCAACATTTTCTGTATTATCATTGGTTGCATCTCTGGTGCATTCTGGCCAATGATAATAGTGAAAATGAGCAACAGAATCCAGAATTATGATTGGTTGCACCTAGGTTGCAATTTAACCAATCACAATTCAGGAGGCTGGGCGTCAATCATGTCGGTAATTAGGTTGTCCAGGATTTCCCTCGGGAGAGGGGACCTCTGGAGAAGCCAAATTATCCGCTCTATCCATGTTCCTATGTGACCTTAGGGAGTAAATACGGTCAGTGGCCATCTATTATAAGGAAGCAAGGGATTAAAGTATATAAATAAAGTTTATTGTTATTAATAATACGATATTAATCAAGTAAATAACAATAGATATCTTAAGACTAAGAATCTGAAAGGGAAAGTGCGTAATTGCTTTTAGGTCACTGATCTAGAGGACAATTACGCATTAGTCTAATCCTAAGAATCTGTAAGAGACTTTTGATTAATAAATAATTGCAAGTCAAAAATGTTTATGCAAATGTGAAATTAGTAAACATAGGAAAATTATCAACTGTCATAAAAATCAAAGGATATTTCTAGGTGTCGTAGAGACCTAATTCCTTCGGGAACCTGTGAGGAATAGTTTAATTCGGAATAAACAGCAATAAAATTATAACAAAACTACGCTGTAAAAATAGTTATATCAAATAAACAAGTATTATTTATGGAAAATTTCCTAAGTCGAAAAATAGAAAATAAAATGGTTAAATTAACACATAAGTTATTTCCTGTAAATAAATAAATAATAATTCAATTGTTTATAAGGCAAATAAGGCAGTAATGAAATAACAGTGTAGTTTTAAATATTTCAAATATTACGAATTAAAAATCCCTGAAAGAGAACAAACAAGGTTCACCGTCCTGTAAGAGGTAGAAAATCGATATTATACAAGTACAACTAGCAAAACAAGTTTAGTCAAGGTCAAGTGCTGAAAGAGAAAATCAATAATGTTATAATTATGATTTCTTCACAAATACCTGTAAGACATATATAAAACAATAAAACAATGAAAATACATACAATATCAATTTATCAAGAAATATATAACAGTGTATAATTCGCATGTAAAATTCACATAAAGAAAACCAAAATTTCTTACCTACTTATTACAGTGTATCGCTGAAAGAGAAATACAGAACAAAATAAGGGTAAAGAAATAAAACACAAGGGTTTTCTTTATTATGCGGTCTCCCTTTGAGGATATCCGCGCAATTAGCGTCTAAGCCCTTTGAACAAAGGACTTAGCGGAATCTTCTTACACGACTTGTAAGTTTTCCCGCGTTAATCTTAAATCTTGATAAAGACAAAGAAAACGCGGCTGCAATTACGTACTTTATCAGAATTCGCCTAAGGGCGAAAGCACAGATCAAATACGCCTTCAGATAACGACGTTCTGGACGCTTTATCAGCAAATTTAGACTAAGTCTAAATTGCATAAATAAATGTCCAAAAATGGCCGCCTGGTTCCCGCTCGGAAACCGACAAGGGTTCTGGTAAGAACTTTGCCAAAAGGTGCGTTCGAAATAATAAGCAGAAGTTGGGTTGAGAGGCTCAAGGAACTTAATCAACCTGAGATCTCGGCTTGCCTTAGGAGGCTGGACTGGCGGACATATCCTGACCCAGTCTGATTTCCTGGCCGTGGTGTGTTTCCTTTATAGAGGAAAAAGTAGGTCAATCGTAACCGTCACTGCCTGGTACCGAATTGCCTACACACACGACGACCAATGCCCAATTTTCTGTATTATCATTGGTTGCAACTCCGGTGCATTTTTGGCCAATGATAATAGCGAAAATGAGCAACAGCGTCCAGAATTATGATTGGCTGCACCTAGGTTGCATATTGACCAATCCCAATTCAGGAGGCTGGGCGACATCCCCCCCGCTCCCGAAGATCTGCAGGTGATTGAAGTTCCCATTTACCATTTATTGAAAAAACAAGATTTTACAATATGGCACAATACAAATAAAATGTTTACAATACATGAAACAATACATACAATAATGCATAATACAAGGCATAATACAAAAATGTTTTACAACATGACACAGTACATTGTTTTTGTACATAAAAGGAAAATGTTCCTGAACATATTTAACTTGGTAAATAAAATTAAATATTCATACTTGAATAATATTTGCAAATTTGCAAGATAAAAAGGAAAATATTCCTAACAATATTATGTTGAGATAATATTAAAATTGTCTTTTTCCGAAAAACTACTCATATTTGAATAGAAAATCTTTAAAGGAAAATATTCCTGTAAATGTTCGTTAAAAAAAACGACTCATATTTGAATAGAAAGTCTTAGAGGAAAATATTCCAAAATTGTCTTTGAAAAACTACTCGTACTCGAATAGAAAATCCTGAAGGAAAATATTCCTAAGTTTATTTAAATTAAAATAGCAATGTTCAAGGAAAATATCCCTTAAAAAAATATAATAGTTAAAATGTTCATATTATATATTAAAAAAAATGTCTTTTCATTAGGGAAATGTCTTTAAGTAAATAATTGTTCTTACACACCACGTCACTGGGCGGCTTCTCCGACGGCGGCGTCGCCTCTAGGAGGTGGTGCTGGGCGTAGATCATCTACGTGGATTAGACGGTCGACGTCGTTGTCTCGGTGAACCTCATATGTGTGGTTACCGGCTGCACGTAGGATCGAATGTGGACCTGTCCAGGTCTCGCCGAAGTTTCCATGCTGGTGATTCCTCACAAGGACCTGTTGTCCGGGAACGTAGACAGGTGGTGTCCTGGCGTCTGGGTTTTCAGGGAACAAGTTCCTGGCGTAGACGGTGGCCTTCTGAACTGCTCTCTGCACCCGTTGTTCTCTGTTTTCCCTGACGTTGGCCTGGAAGTGTGTCTCCTGGTCGCGTCTGGGCCTGTAGCCGAGGAGGAGCTCGGCTGGGGTCTGTCCGGTGGCATCGTTGGCTCTGGTTCTGAGTGTGAAAACGATGTCACTGACGTATGAATCCCATCGGGGGTCCTCTGGGGATGAGACTCTGGCTCGCAGTCCTTTCTTTAGTTCCTGGACGCGTCGCTCAATGGGGTTGGCCCTCTGGTGGTATATGGGGGCCCTCTCGTGGGTGATGGTGTGGCGACGAAGGAACCTCTCCCAGGTGTTGGTTCTGAATTGAGGTCCATTGTCGGTAATGACCTGGTTTGGTCGTCCCCATCTATTGCATACCTCGTCCTCTAGGAATGCTACGATGTCTCTTGACTTGGCTGACGTAGTGCATCGGAACTCCACCCAGTTGCTGAGGCAATCCACGGCGAAGAGGATAAAACGGTTCTTTGTCCCTCTGGCAGGAGGGTAAGGACCTAGCACATCGAAGGAGATCCTCTCCCATGGATTGGTTGGTTCCCTCGGCACGATTGGAGCTCTAGGCTGTCGTTTGGATGCCTTCGTCGTGGCACACTTCAGACAAGTACGGACGTGGTTGGTTATGTCCTTTAACATCATCGGCCAGAAGTAGAGTTCTCGGATGGCTCGGTAGGTTTCTTCTTGTCCGGGGTGGTTTGCTTCCTCACTGTCATGGTAAACTTGCAGAACCACAGCTTGGAAGCAACCAGGGACAATCAGGCGTCTGGAACCATCCTGGAGGTGGTAGGCTGTGGCATCCTCCACTAGGAACTCGTCTAGGAGGCTTTGTTCTGTCTCATTTTGCGGGCCTCGGGCTTGGATACGTCTCCAGCGGTTGATGAATCGCTGCACACCATGATCGGTTTGATGTGCCCTCTGGATTCTTAGCTGGAGTGGCATTTCTGTCAAGTCGTCCAGGATCGGATGGTTGGCATCGTCGTCCTGGTCGTCTAGGAGACACAGCAACGGGGATGTATCTTCCTCCGTCATGGCATGCTGTGGCCAGGCTAGACGATCGACTTCGGCATCCGGGTCGTGGAGCGTCTCCTCCTCGGTGGTCGGATGGCGGGATAGGTGGTCAGGCAGCTGGTTGTCTTTTCCAGCGACGTGGATCACCTTGAAGTTGTACTCTTGTAGAAGTAGAGCCCATCGTGATAGCTTGGCCTTGTCGCTCTTGTATCGATCTAGCCACAGCAGAGCTCTACTATCGGTGTATAACGTGAAGGTCTGGTCCTGAAGGAAGTGTTTGAACCGTTTCAGGGCCCAAATGACAGCAAGGCACTCTTTTTCATTGATGTGGTACCTCTTCTCAGCTGGCTTCAGCTTGGTGGAACCATATGCAATAATTCTCCGGTTGGAAGGTTCACCCTGGAACAGGACAGCGCCCATGCCTATCTCAGACGCATCTGTCTGTAGGCTGAAAGGCAGGCTGGCATCTGGCCGTTGCAGTTCCAGTTTATTGGCAATGGCGTTCTTGATGGAGTTGAACGCCCTGTCAGCTACCTCGTTCCATTGGAAACGGTGTTTTCCCGCTGTTAAATCAGTCAGCGGGGTCACCATCTCCGCGAAGTTGGGAACGAAGTCTCGTAGCCAGCTGGCAGTGCCAATGAACGACCTTAGTTGTTTTAAGGTCTTTGGTGTGGTGAACCCTTGGATGCGGTCCTTGTGTCTCTCCATCGGTTGGGTGTTGACGGAGGTGATTGTGTGGCCCAGATAGTCCCGTTCGGTGGCGTAGAACTGGCACTTCTTCAAAGACACCCACAGGCCGTGAGTGCGTAGTCTTTCGAGAACCAGGTGGAGGTGTTTTTGGTGTTCCTCCATGGTGGACGAGTAGATGATGATGTCGTCCATGTAGACCTTCACGAATTCGTCCACATAGCCGGCGAAGACGGTGGTCACCAGCTTTTGGAATGCTGCAGGTCCGTTCTTAAGTCCAAATGGCATCACGGTAAACTCGAATTGCGACCCATCAGGAAGGCTGAATGCTGTTATTTCCCTGGACTCCTCGGCCAGCGGAATTTGCCAAAATCCGCTCTTCAGGTCGAGGGTGGTGAATACAGTAGCTAAACCCAGTTCCTTGATGCTGTCGTGGATGGGTGGCAAGTTCGATACCTCGTCTACGGTGATTGCATTGATTTTGCGATAGTCGACACAAAATCGTGGAGTTCTATCCTTCTTGGAAACTATAACTACAGGACTGTTATAGGGGGACCTGCTTGGACGAATGACGCCCGCCGAGAGTATATCCTGGACTTCCTGGTACATGATTTGCTTCTTCGGCGTCGAGTACTTATACGGTCTAGTGTTGATGGGCTTGGAGTCCGTCAGTTTGATGACCATCTTGGTGGCTCTAGTAGTAGGTTGGCGGACTCTGTCATCGAACACATCTTGATAGGTGCTTAGCAGATGTTTGACCTCATTTATAGCATGGGTTGGGGCTTGGTCGTCCCTCAGGAGGTGGATGGTATCTGTCGTGGTGGTGGTTCTCGCAGATGGCTCCCAGAACAAGGTATGGCGGCTGACGGTCCCTGCATGGAGGCATCTCCTGGCAATATCTACCAGGACTTCCTCGGACTTCAGCCATGGCATGCCTAGTACCAAGTCGTGGTGGAGGTCGTCTACGAGGCGACATCGGACTCTGGACGTGAACTGGTCGGTGAAGTGGATGGTCTACTGTACCCATACTATGGAATAATTGGCCTTGCTTAGCCAGCTGCACCTCGGCGGGGTCGTTTTTCACCATATCCCGCTCAATTAGGCCTACACTGATAAAATTTGCAGTAGCACCAGTGTCTATCGTGGCCATAATTCTGACGGAGTTGACCTCGGCTGAGATCTTGGGCGACGGTGAGGAATCGGCAACGTGGAGGGTGTTGAGCTGGGGCACCATTCTGGTTGGACTTAGTTGTTCTCGATGATGCCCCCGTCGGAGTTTCCCGGACGTGGTGGGCTTCTCGGTGGAGGCGTCGGTCTACCTCCTTGGTCGGAATTGTTGTTGTTGTTGTGGTTATTGTTGTTTCCGCCTGGATGGCGGTGTTGATTGTTGCTACCGTTGCGGCTGAAGTTACCGCCCTGGTTGCGGTGTTGGTTGAAACCATTTGATTGGTTCCTGTTGAAATTGTTGTTGTTGTTGTTGTTTTGTCCGCTTGGATTGCGGTGTTGGTTTCCCCTGTTCCTCCATTCGTTTAAGGTCTCTGACTGGCGAGGCCTGTCGTGGCGTGGTGGAGGTGGTGGAGGTTGACGTTCCTGTTGCTGAGGACGGCTTCCACTGCTTGCTACCTGCTTCTCGTGCTTCTTCGCACTGGTCGGTGTGGAAGCCTCGATGTCTATTTCAATTTCGTCCACTGTACGACGTAGGTCTTCTTCCGTTTTTGGTGGATTGGACCTTAGAAATTGTCTGATTTCGGGACGTAGTTGGTCCATAATTATGGTGTAACGATCTTCATCCCTGGTGGAGGGGGAAACTCTGTTGAATAAGGCCATCTTCTTGGAGATGAACTCTGCTGCGGGCTCTGCTCGTTGTTTGTGGCCGTATAGCTTGGCCAGGAGGCGGGAGAAGCGACTAGGATGGCTGAAATGGTCGATCAGTCGTCCAAAGAATGTGTGGTATTCTAGTTTAGGGTCCGCATGAGTTGTGGCCCATGTTGCAGCTTCTCCCTCTAGACCGTGTTCGAGCAGGTAGGCCGTCCAGTACTTGGTTTCTATGTTCATGTTCCTCAGGTGGTCCGTGGCTAAGTCGGCGAATTCTTCAGGGCTCTCGTGTTCTGCACCGGTAAACTTCTTTAGAGTTGGCTTCCATCTCGGAGCCGGTGCTGGTGGGGTTGGTGGAGCTGCAGGGACTTCCGCCTTCGTGGAATGGAGGGTTAGTGCCGTAACCGCTTGTGTGAGGATAGCCAGGGAGTTGTAGAGGTCCTGAATGGCCGCATTGCCTGACGTCGCAGGCTGTTGGGCTGTTGCTTCGGGGACTGCATGGCCTGACGTCGCAGGCGGTGACTCTATGCTCTCAGGGAGTGGTTGAGTTCGGATTTGTTGGGCGCCATGTCGGTAATTAGGTTGTCCAGGATTTCCCTCGGGAGAGGGGACCTCTGGAGAAGCCAAATTATCCGCTCTATCCATGTTCCTATGTGACCTTAGGGAGTAAATACGGTCAGTGGCCATAGACCACTATTATAAGGAAGCAAGGGATTAAAGTATATAAATAAAGTTTATTGTTATTAATAATACGATATTAATCAAGTAAATAACAATAGATATCTTAAGACTAAGAATCTGAAAGGGAAAGTGCGTAATTGCCTTTAGGTCACTGATCTAGAGGACAATTACGCATTAGTCTAATCCTAAGAATCTGTAAGAGACTTTTGATTAATAAATAATTGCAAGTCAAAAATGTTTATGCAAATGTGAAATTAGTAAACATAGGAAAATTATCAACTGTCATAAAAATCAAAGGATATTTCTAGGTGTCGTAGAGACCTAATTCCTTCGGGAACCTGTGAGGAATAGTTTAATTCGGAATAAACAGCAATAAAATTATAACAAAACTACGCTGTAAAAATAGTTATATCAAATAAACAAGTATTATTTATGGAAAATTTCCTAAGTCGAAAAATAGAAAATAAAATGGTTAAATTAACACATGTTATTTCCTGTAAATAAATAAATAATAATTCAATTGTTTATAAGGCAAATAAGGCAGTAATGAAATAACAGTGTAGTTTTAAATATTTCAAATATTACGAATTAAAAATCCCTGAAAGAGAACAAACAAGGTTCACCGTCCTGTAAGAGGTAGAAAATCGATATTATACAAGTACAACTAGCAAAACAAGTTTAGTCAAGGTCAAGTGCTGAAAGAGAAAATCAATAATGTTATAATTATGATTTCTTCACAAATACCTGTAAGACATATATAAAACAATAAAACAATGAAAATACATACAATATCAATTTATCAAGAAATATATAACAGTGTATAATTCGCATGTAAAATTCACATAAAGAAAACCAAAATTTCTTACCTACTTATTACAGTGTATCGCTGAAAGAGAAATACAGAACAAAATAAGGGTAAAGAAATAAAACACAAGGGTTTTCTTTATTATGCGGTCTCCCTTTGAGGATATCCGCGCAATTAGCGTCTAAGCCCTTTGAACAAAGGACTTAGCGGAATCTTCTTACACGTATTGTAAGTTTTCCCGCGTTAATCATAAATCTTGATAAAGACAAAGAAAACGCGGCTGCAATTACGTACTTTATCAGAATTCGCCTAAGGGCGAAAGCACAGATCAAATACGCCTTCAGATAACGACGTTCTGGACGCTTTATCAGCAAATTTAGACTAAGTCTAAATTGCATAAATAAATGTCCAAAAATGGCCGCCTGGTTCCCGCTCGGAAACCGACAAGGGTTCTGGTAAGAACTTTGCCAAAAGGTGCGTTCGAAATAATAAGCAGAAGTTGGGTTGAGAGGCTCAAGGAACTTAATCAACCTGAGATCTCGGCTTGCCTTAGGAGGCTGGACTGGCGGACATATCCTGACCCAGTCTGATTTCCTGGCCGTGGTGTGTTTCCTTTATAGAGGAAAAAGTAGGTCAATCGTAACCGTCACTGCCTGGTACCGAATTGCCTACACACACGACGACCAATGCCCAATTTTCTGTATTATCATTGGTTGCAACTCCGGTGCATTTTTGGCCAATGATAATAGCGAAAATGAGCAACAGCGTCCAGAATTATGATTGGCTGCACCTAGGTTGCATATTGACCAATCCCAATTCAGGAGGCTGGGCAACAATCATGTCGGTAACGTGTTGGACTCTCAGTTCCCTCAGGAAGAGAGAGTTCGTTGACCGCTCTGTCCATAGCTGTATTGGACCGTAGATCGTATCGATCTCGATCGGTGGCCATAGGCTCGTGCTATGTCACCCCTAGCTAAGATTAAAATGATATAAAGGATGCACAAGTAAACGTTTATTGTTATAAACAAATAAATAGATCAAATATGCAAAGTATAATAATAATAATAATGCACACCCATGATAATGGAGTTTATTAATTTATGTTTAGGGTCGCTGCCTGGGGATCGCCAGGGCACGTCTGGAGCCGGCGCTGGACGTGACAGCATGCGGGACGTCGGTGGCAGGGTGTTGAGGAGGCGGGCCCCTGTCATACAATCAGCTACAGCCCAACAACAACAACAACAACCACAAGTGAGCCAAACAACAACAAGAGCTCCACTCGCTGAAGGTGCTGCGCTGGAACATCAGCCGGCGCTCACTCAAGCGGGACGACCGAGGCAGCGTATGAAGTGGACAATGTCCATAAACGAAAATATTTTGCGCTTTTATTATAAGGTGACAAACCTCGGTCAAGAAACAATCGGCTATCGACAACAACTGTATGCCGAATTTTGCAGGGAGTACCCAGAAATCCAAGTATCTGAACAAAGAGTAGCAGATCAATACCGGGTAATTTTAAGAAACAATCTTATTCCAGAGACTAGACGCGACACCATCAGACGCGAAATCGAACGGGAGATTCATAACCAAGAACAAGTTGCAGACCAAGTCCCTAATGAAATCCCTAATGAACAGATTCCTGAGATTCTCATACAAGAAACTCAACCTAATAATACACAGCAGGACAATAACGAGTTGCACGATAGTCTGGCAAACGAAATGGCGCGCTCCGTACAAGAGTTTAGTGGAACAAACCCACTTAGCAGACCACCGCTACCAAAAATAAACTCTTCCAAGAAACTAGGAGCGCTGTTACAAATTATGAATACTGAAGTCCTACCCAATTATATCACAGAAGCCCACACATTGGAATATTTGCATATGCTGATTTACTGTGCAGCAACAGCAATTGCTAATGTTATGGGCATTAAGATCAGAACACGACGGGTACCAACATCGGAAGGACTGATAACAGAATAGCACCCTGGGAAAAACGACTGCTGAAGAAGATCGAATTACTGCGTAGGGACATTGGACAAATAACAGAGTACATAAGAGGAGTAAGAAGTAGAAAAATCATCAAAAGAGCTGAAGAAATACTGTTTAACACTCTAAGACACTCACGATATGATCCAGAAAACAACACACCTCAACAATGCCTGGACACATTAAAACAAAAACTATCTGTTTACTCAGGCCGCCTGAGGAGATACAAAGTTAGTAACAACCGGAAATGCGACAATATACTTTTTGAGCAAGCAGAGAAAACTTTTTATAGGAAACTTAATTCCACTGTAGAAAACGCAAATAAATCCTACCCAAGCCAAGAAGAAATTCATGAGTTTTGGGGCAACCAACTTTCGACGCCAGCTACTCATAACAACAATGCTGGATGGATTGAAGACACCACGAACAAATGTCAACACTACAGGAATATTCCTTATGAACCTTTCACCACTGAAGAAGTCTCGAACATTATCAAAGAGCTTCATAACTGGAAATCTCCTGGACCGGACGGAGTTCAAAACTTTTGGCTAAAGAAGTTTTGGAGTGTACATGAGCTTTTAACAGTATTTATTAATAATATTATTTCTAATTCACAGGAAATACCATCATTCCTTACTCAGGGAACCACTTATCTAATACCGAAGGATCAAAATAACACCCAAGATCCAGCCAAGTACCGTCCAATTACTTGTCTTCCAACTTTGTACAAATTGGTCACATCCTGTGTGGCCCGGCGTATCTACCAACACTGTGCTCTGAACAATATCATAGAGCCCCAACAGAAAGGATGCGCTAAGGGCTCCATGGGATGCAAAGAACAACTTATTATCGACTCAGTCATTTCTAACCAGGCATACATCAAAAAAAGAAACCTTTTTACTGCCTTCATTGACTACAAGAAGGCTTTTGATTCAGTGCCGCATGAATGGCTTATAGATATATTGAAAATATATAAAGTCGATCATAATCTCGTGACCTTTTTGAAACATATAATGGCAGAGTGGAAGACTAAAATTCACCTTCAAATACCTGGTGAAATTAATATCGAAACTGAAGATATCCCTATTAACCGGGGCCTTTTCCAGGGGACTCGTTGAGTCCACTTTGGTTCTGCCTAGCGATGAACCCACTATCTCAGCTGCTGAACTCTACTGACTCAGGATTTAGCATCAAAAATAACAACACCGTTGTAGCGAAGCTTAATCATCTGTTGTATATGGATGATTTAAAATTAATGGCTTCCACTCGAAACCACTTAGATGAGATGCTAAAAACTGTAGAAAATTTCTCAAATGATATCAGTATGCATTTTGGACTAGACAAGTGCCGTATACTAAATATAGTCAGAGGAAAGGTTCAGCCCGGAGGTTTCGATATGCAAGATGGCCAAAACATCGAGGCAATGGGTGAAAATGATATGTACAAATATCTCGGAGTAAAACAAGCGCGGAAAATTGACCATAAACAAATGAAAACAGAACTAACTTCGGAGTTCGTGCGAAGAGTAAGACAACTAAATCGGTCATATCTTAATAGTAAAAATTTGTTTAAGGCATTAAATACTTACGCCTGTTCCGCGTTGAGCTACTCATTTGGTATTATAAAGTGGTCAAAAACGGATATAGAGGGTCTTCAGCGGAAAGTAAGAACACTTCTCACAAAGGCGCAAAAACATCATCCACGTAGTGCAGTAGAGAGAACAACATTACCGCGGTATCAAGGGGGAAGAGGACTTATGGATATAGGTGAACAATTAGATAAACAAATTGCTAATTTAAGATCTTATTTTCAGGTACAGGCTGAGACATCTACTTTACATCGAGCAATTTGCGCAGTAGATGATACGACGCCGCTTAAACTGAGGGAACAAGAAATGCGCATAAACCACCTGACTCAGCAAGAAAAAATGCGCACCTGGATGAGTAAACCTCTGCACGGGCGACATCTCAATGAGATCAACCAAGAATATGTCGACAATACAGCGTCGAACTATTGGTTGACATCAGGAAA